GCTCCGGGCAAAAGACCCCTGCTCCAGAGCTCCAAGTTCCAGCTCCGGGCAAAAGACCCCTGCTCCAGAGCTCCAAGTTCCAGCTCCGGGCAAAAGACCCCTGCTCCAGAGCTCCAAGTTCCAGCTCCGGGCAAAAGACCCCTGCTCCAGAGCTCCAAGTTCCAGCTCCGGGCAAAAGACCCCTGCTCCAGAGCTCCAAGTTCCAGCTCCGGGCAAAAGACCCCTGCTCCAGAGCTCCAAGTTCCAGCTCCGGGCAAAAGACCCCTGCTCCAGAGCTCCAAGTTCCAGCTCCGGGCAAAAGACCCCTGCTCCAGAGCTCCAAGTTCCAGCTCCGGGCAAAAGACCCCTGCTCCAGAGCTCCAAGTTCCAGCTCCGGGCAAAAGACCCCTGCTCCAGAGCTCCAAGTTCCAGCTCCGGGCAAAAGACCCCTGCTCCAGAGCTCCAAGTTCCAGCTCCGGGCAAAAGACCCCTGCTCCAGAGCTCCAAGTTCCAGCTCCGGGCAAAAGACCCCTGCTCCAGAGCTCCAAGTTCCAGCTCCGGGCAAAAGACCCCTGCTCCAGAGCTCCAAGTTCCAGCTCCGGGCAAAAGACCCCTGCTCCAGAGCTCCAAGTTCCAGCTCCGGGCAAAAGACCCCTGCTCCAGAGCTCCAAGTTCCAGCTCCGGGCAAAAGACCCCTGCTCCAGAGCTCCAAGTTCCAGCTCCGGGCAAAAGACCCCTGCTCCAGAGCTCCAAGTTCCAGCTCCGGGCAAAAGACCCCTGCTCCAGAGCTCCAAGTTCCAGCTCCGGGCAAAAGACCCCTGCTCCAGAGCTCCAAGTTCCAGCTCCGGGCAAAAGACCCCTGCTCCAGAGCTCCAAGTTCCAGCTCCGGGCAAAAGACCCCTGCTCCAGAGCTCCAAGTTCCAGCTCCGGGCAAAAGACCCCTGCTCCAGAGCTCCAAGTTCCAGCTCCGGGCAAAAGACCCCTGCTCCAGAGCTCCAAGTTCCAGCTCCGGGCAAAAGACCCCTGCTCCAGAGCTCCAAGTTCCAGCNCCCCCCCCCCCAAAACCCACCCCCCCCCCCCCCCCCCCCCCCCCTCTTTTTGTGCGTACGTACTAATGGGTGACCATATACTATAATTTGGAAACTTAACTTCAAAAATCAAATTTTGCCCGTTTGACTTTCATTAGATGTTCATCCCCTCGTGTCGTTTATTTCACCCGAACTATCTTAACCTTGGCTAGGACGTAGGGGGTCCATACAGGACGAAGAAAACTAAACTCAAATCATTCCTATTTCACTGTTCGATGAAGGGGTTTCCCCAAAGGAAAAAACGTGACCAGCCAAGGTAACTCTAAAAAAAAACCGGTTGTTGCAACAACTAATCAGCGGAGGAAGTGGCCAGATACCGGAACACGCAGGAAGCTTATCGGTAGGCCAATCCTTTCGCTTCGGCGGAACTGTGGAAACCACGCACTTAAAAAAAAAAAACAATGGACATGTGGGAGGCAGGTCCTGCTTTTGTGTGCAGATCTCCAAGTGGTCTGAGGGCGTTCGTTAATTGAATATTTGTGGGTAAATTTTGAGTTACGCTATTTTATAGGAAAACGTCAAGGATTGTAAATATTTTAAAATATAATTTAACTGCAAACTTATTTCACCAGTATTTCTTTATTAAAAATTTCACCCTGCGCCACGCATACTTTTTTAAAATATTTTTTTACTTTCGTTTGTTTTTGATAAAGGCTGGTGGTAATCTAATTATAAGATCAAGTTTGAATTAACGACTATAAAAAGTGCTTGTTTTTACTAGCATCGTTATGCCTGATTGGACGTTTAATCACAAACACCCTTTTTTATCTAGCACTGATTCAGACACACTAAACAGACTAACGGAAATGCTTGTAAAAATGGCTGGAGGTAGCGTTGGTTGGGGGGGGGGGTTACGCTACTAGTTTGTAAGTTCACTACTTACTACTAATTAATATCACATGCACCTCTCACCCCCCCCCCAAATTGTTTCCGCTACTGGTGATAACTGATGTGTTTATTAGCTGAACAAAAGATACTAAAGATATATTTATCCGATACAACAGTGGTCCCAAAATGGCAGGTCCGTGGTGCTTCACCGGTCCATATGCCTAACGCTGCCGGTCCCCATAACATAAATATTTATTGTCAAAAAAGTATAAAAATAAATCATGGACCGGTCCCTGGTAAAATTTCGAAACTTTTTCACTGGTCCGCCAAACTTAAAAGTCTGGGAACCACTGCGTTACAACATGATTCAAACCCCAAGTAGTTTAAAACCATTCACTGGCGTACTTGTGTTTGTCGGAAGAATACGACACAGAAGTAGGTCACATTATTAACCAATCCTAAGAAATAAACAACCCTCCTTCCCTGCTCCCAAAGTCTGCACGATTAGTTGGGTTTTTTCTTTTCTTCGGGTGTCACGCGATCCAGGATATGGAAATGTTTCCTTGGATATTTCCAGCATGACGTAATCTTGTTTTTCCGAGCGATTCTTTTTAAAGCAACATGTCAATTTCATTAGTATTGTGTGATTTTGGCTATGTCGAAAAAGAAAAATAAGATATATTTGTGCTACGTTGTTAATTAAAAGGTCTCGGTGTATTCTGAAAATGTATGTGGCATAATAAAATCTAATTTAATACTTGGAAATAGAACTAACCAAAATATAAGGAATACATTTTATTTATCGTGTGAATTTTTTAAAACAAAACTAACTTAATACATGACGTCACACTATTTCCGGACAGTTTTTACCCCCCCCCTCCCCCCCCCCCCCAACCAAAAAAAAAATAAAAAAAATAAAAAAATCGGATTTGGAGTCGGTTGGCATCTTTGGTAGAAGTTCTAAATTCTTTTCTAAATTTCTAAAACTAAATCCAAATTTTCATCATAATTTTCTTTTTCTTTGTCATTACATGAGCCAGTGTTGCTCACCGATAAGCTCCCTTAATTTATTTTTGGGTAAAAGTAAAGCAAATTGTATGAACTGCTAAACCCCCCACCCCCATTTATCAACAGGTAAAACATTAAGACAACGTACGAAATAGAAGTCGTGACCGGCTTGAAATAAACCCGAGGAAACACCGGGGAAACCAAAAGTATATTTGTTGGCCTACTATAAGTTATTTTTAAGCACAATTTATTGTATGCAGTTGGGGAATTTTTTTTTTAATCAATTTCTATTCATTTGTACATTTATGAGTGGTAGCCATATTTGATCATCCATGTTATCAATTTTAAAAATAATTCAGATTTGCATGAATAATTCCAAGATTTGTTTACTTGAAAGGCATTGGAAAACAAAGTCTTATTAATCTATCTTCATTTATTTATAGTTAACCTAAAGTTATTACATTTTAAATTCAGTACTACGTTCAGAAAAATGAAAGATGTTGGCAAAAGTGTGACTGGTCAGCACCAATGGTAAAAAGAAAGAAGATATCGATCTTTTGGGGACATTTGTCTAAATTGGTATTTTTTCAAAATAATGGAATTTAATTAGGGAAGGTGGACCACTCTCCTAATGTAGATTTTTGGCCACATCTGTGGTAAAAGTCTCTTGGATTATCATAAAACAATTAAGATCCCATAGGGCATGTTATTAGAAATTAATGTATAATGTTATTCAGGCATGGTGTAGTAATGGAGGAACTTAAATACCCGGTATAAGATGTGGGATTTAGTGTTCACTTAAAGTGTAATGTGGGATTTAGGTGGTAGGTGTTTTCCCCATCAGTTATTATAGGTAGCAGACGGCCCATTGCGCACACTATTATTACTGTTATGAAAATAGCTCAGACATATTTTTAAAACGTTTGATTTACTTCCATTTCTCTCCATCATTTCTTTATTTTGCCAAGAGCTAGTTCTGGATAAGTTTGAATTCCAGGCAAGCTATCCATGGGGCACCTACTGTACATTTTTTTTACACGTAAATGAACTACTAGGCTTGTTTTACATATTAAGTAATTACAAAAAAAATATTGTTGTTCTCATGTAATAAATTTAACAAAGTGTGTCAATTTAACAAAGTGTGTCAATTTAACAAAGTGTGTCAATTTAACAAATGTATTTCATAATTACTGTCATGCTTTGGTCGTTAATTTTAAGATCTGCAGAATATATATTTCTTTATCAATATTTTTATGGAGCTTAGAACATTCAGTGATTCAGTCTTTGTCCAAGGGGGTCTCAAAATTAAAGTATGAATCCAATACAAGCCATGGATTTTTCAACATTCAAATTTTTTGTTTCTTGTTCTGGTGTAAGTTCTGATTCCATGGTTACCCTAAGTGGACTATCCCATTTTTACCCTAAGTGGACTATCCCGTGGTTACCCTAAGTGGACTATCCATGATTACCCTAAATGGACTATTCACTGGTTACCCTAAGTGCACTATCCCGTGGTTACCCTAAAAGGACTATACTTTACTTACCCTAAGTGGACGTTATCCCATGGTTACCATAAGTGGATTATCCTGTGGTTACCCTAAGTGGACTATCCCGTGGTTACCCTAAGTAGACCATCCCATGGTTACTCTAAATGGACTATCTCGTGGTTACCCTAAGTGGACTATCCTGTGGTTACCCTAAGTAGATTATCCTGTGGTTACCCTAAGTAGATTATCCTGTGGTTACCCTAAGTGGCTTATCCCATGGTTACCTTAAGTGAATTATCCTGTGGTTACCCTAAGTTGACTATCAAGTGCTTACCATAAGTGGACTATCCCATGGTTACCCTAAGTGGACTATCCAATGGTTACCCTAAGTGGACTATCCTGTGGTTCCCCTAAGTGGACTATCATGTAGTTTACCTCAGTGGACTATCCAGTGGTTAATCTAAGTGGATTACCCTGTGGTTGCCCTAAGTGAATTATCATGTGGTTACCCTAAGTGGACTGTCCCGCTCACTTCCTTGTGGTTGCTTTTTGTAATGACATAATTTTGTCGATAGAAGGATACAGGAACAAAAAAACTTCAAATATATAAAATTATTCAATCCATTTATTTAGAGTTATTTTTTGACTTACAGCTGATCATACAAGTCTACAAGTATTGAACATAATCTCTGAGCACAACCTTGCACAGCCTCACTGCAGGTCAACTCAACATAAACCGATAAATAAAATCTGTAACAAAATATGCATAACAACAGTGGAGCCATAACTTCTTCTTGTGTGTGTGTGAGGTGGTGATGGTAGCAGGCTCAAAGCTCCACCTGAGTGGTGTGTGTGTGGTTAGGGGAGAGGTGTGAAACCAGAGACAGGCAAATGAAATAATCAAAGTAAGGGCCAAAACAATGTTTGTTCAAAGGAAGCAAGAAGTAAAGTAACTGAAATAAGAAGCAAAACTGAATGTCTCAAGACAGTACTTCAAGACACCTGTAATGGAGAAGGGTAAAATACAATTTCAACTGTAAAATTCTAACCCAAATATTTTGATGTAGTTAGTTCTGCGCCTCCCTATAAGAGTGAGTTGGGAAAAAAAAAAAGGTCTAAACTTCAATCATTAACAAGGTGGGCTAGAATGTTGACAAATTTTAAAAAGCCTTTAACTCTAAATCAGTGTTTCCCTACGTGGGGCCTAACCCTAACCCACAGGGGGGCAATTTGAGTGTTTAGAAGGGCAAGTCAAAAATGAGCTGTACAGAATTTGAAAACCAATGGTCTACTATGATTTAACTTGTGCTCTAAAAGGAGAATCGTTAAAGTCTCAATTTAAAATAGGCATGCATTAAAAATTTACTTACTAAGTTTCCTTACCAATTTCCTAGTGATTTCTTCCTAAAACCTATCATTTAAGTTTCTTCAGTAAACAACCCTATTTTTTTTGAATATCTAAAATTATGTAAATGATACGGGAAAAGGGGGGGGGGGGAATTTTATAAGGGCTTAGGTGGGGCATGACACAAAAAAGGTTGGGAAACACTGCTTTAAACCATGTTTAAATGGTCCAGATGTCAAAACATAACAACTTAAACTTTTAGAAAATAGTTACCATCTTTATCAATAATTAGAATTCTTGAAGTATATGTTTCTGAACATAAAATGAGCTTTTGTTTCTTTAAGTTAAGGTTCAAAACTAAAGCTTCAAGTTTTTAATTTCAATACATTATTCATACCCATTAAGTGGGTAAATGGTCCAGGGGAGATAAGCAGCATGCATACATTTATAACATGTTGGGAAAAAAAACAACTTCAGACAGTCCCCATCAGTGGTGAAAAAATAAGATTACATAAACACATACATTTTCACATTCAGTTTTACTTTTATTTTAAAATATACTCACAATGAATGAATACTGTGAATATCTAGCCAGAAAAAAGAACTAAACTGTATTGGTATTTTATTTAAACCCTTTTTTTGAGATCACATTTTTTAATAATGGAACTAGGAATAGGAAGCCAATTTGAAAACAATTTACAGTACTGTCTCGTAACAGAGTATTTATAATACTCTATCATTACAATTCAGGTTTCTTGAGATGTTTGAAGTTTTATTTGCATCTGTTTTTACAAAGCATCTGTCTTGAATTTCATTTTGCATTTTTCAAATTTTTGGAATTTTACTTAGGCAGAAGACCTCATCTATAGCACCATAATCAATAAATATTTAAGTAAAGCTGCTGTTATCTAGTGTCATTGTGATCATTCTCTTCTTCCAACTCTCCATGTTCCGGCCCACCAGTGGTCTTCAATAGGATGTGACTTCTCAGAGGAGATATTTTATACTCTGGCCAATCTATCAAAAGCTGGAGAAACAGAATAAACTAAATTTTGGCAAATTCTGATAGTGAAGATTATTTTTTATTTTGAAATTTAATAATTCAAAGATTAACTTTTAAAGATGTTAAATTGTCATTCTGAAGAACCATTTTATTTCCTGTTAAATTGGATTAATACAAAAATTTTATTTTTTAAATACCTTTTAACAATATATTTGCATTGATGTCAAATAAAGAAAAATTTAATTATTTTTAACAACTTATTCCCACTAAGCTGTATCTGGCAAATGAAAATGAAATGTTTTAAAAAAATTAGTGTAAAGGAAATATTTTTTAAAATATAATTAATACCTTATATAAGTTGAGAAAATGTTCAGGTCTAGTGGTGATAATGAAATCCATCATGGTGTAGCCGAGACTTAACATTCGCAGTCCACATCCAGGTAACAACATTCTGTAAAAAAAAAAGGGAAGTCTATGGGGTTAAAATCTGAGATTATAACTTTTACACTTGCTGCACGTCTAAAGATGTTTAAGTTAAATGCTGATAAATATCTGATAATAGCTTTTAAAAAACGATTAAGATAATAAGAGGAAAAGCATTTCAAGTTTCCCAACTTGAAGTTTCCACTTGGATAGGTAAAGATATTAATGTATACATTTGTTTTCAAAGTTCCACACCATCCACAGGCATAAAGTTTAAAGTGAAGCACTTACTCCATTGTCGGTATTGTGCGGGAAAGCTTCTTTTTGTAAAGTTGTCGAAGAAAGCTGAGAAATGGAACATGGTGTTCTATGGGCAAAATATCATTGATATTTTTCTTAAGCTGCATTTTAGTTAGAACCCGTTTTGTGGTATCCAGGTTTTTATCCTTAGGAGAAGAATTGTTATAAATTTGTTAACACATTATTATTTCCTTACGTTGTGAAATCTGTAGCATGAAGTGTATTATTAAAAATAATAGTAATATAAAATTCTAAACTGATTTATTTGCACTTCTAGAATTGTTATTAAAATATTCTGATAGTAATTTACATGCTATCCAATCTTGTTAACCTTTTATTTCCAATGTAGCAACAGACACCCCTAGATAGACATGGCAAACATTAATAACTATGAACATGCCATGAATTGGTAACATATACTTTAATCTGTTAACTTATTAAATAGGAAAGACTCCGCCATAAATGTCATGTTACTTGGTTTATAGCCCATGGGTGCTGCCACATAGTATTTTCAAACATCACAATAGGGTTTAAGCAGATGTAAATGTCAAAAAATGTCATGATAAAACACCCATAAAAAATACCTGAATGCTTTTTAAGGCGCTAAATGAAGGAACAAAACTGTTGGAATCAAACTGAAAAGAGCACATTCATTCAGCTTTAATACGAAAATAGCATTTTTTTGTATAATTCTAAAATTTATCACTGATTTATTGTCTTAATATTTGTTTTTTTTAAAATGTAACAAAATAAAATATCTCAATAACTATTTTTTAAGAATAGGGACAGGAATTATGTCCTTGAACATTAAAAAAATTTGTATTGGTAAAACTGCTTTTATAAGTTAAGTTGTTTTCAAAATTAAAAATTAGACATCACAGTTATGAACTAAGAAAGAAATACAATTAAGATGAGAAACTTTACAAGCAAACCCTAGATGAATAAAACCTATAATTGAATCGATATTTCTCAACAAAGCAAAGGATAATAAGTAAAAAAACATTTCATAATTTTTTTTTTATTGCACCATACTGACCCTTTAAAAAAAAAAAAAAATGTTTTCATCATGTCAAAAAATTTAATGATAAAACAGCCATAAGTTGCTGAGTTGGACACTTATGGCTGGCATCAGAGCCAATAGTAACTTAATCAGATTCTCAATATTTAGATTGTTCCATTTTCAAAATTGTTTTTTTTTTAAACCTCATTTTTCTCCATTTTTATTTTTTCCCCCACAATGGTAAAAATTTTCAAGAACTATGATGTCATAGTGTTGGCCCTGGAGTTGAGGCCCTAAGATTCTTATTCTAGACTATCAGCACTGACAATTATGCAATAAAAGTCATACCTCTTCAATAAATTCAATATCGTAAAGTAGGTATACAAAAGCATGGATGTAACTGTAGTGGAAAGGTTCTGGTCTCTCTTTGGCATTAGCAGCTTGGTTTGTTTCTTTCCCATCCATCATACTTTTCAGGCTGGTGATTTTCTAAAATTTCAATTCTGATTAGTTTTTTTTTTGTCTATTAAATATGATAAATAAAGGAGGTTTAAATATAAATATAAATGTCTCCATAATGGTGCATGAGTTTATTTGTGTCTTTAATATGCATTATGAAATCAGGAAAACAATTTCTGAAAAAGATGTTCAGCATATAATTTTTTTTAAAGAAAATACCTAAAGAATATATTAACAAATTTAATTAGTATGAACTAAAATTTTCTTGATGCACACATTGACCATGGCAATCAAAATGTTCAAATTGAATGATTTAAATTTTTAAAAATAAATTATGTGTAACAGTTTTAAACTCTTAATGAAGCTAACACAGGAAAATACAAAACACATTAAGATCCCTATGAACTTTCAACAAAAACAAACCTTTCTTAACTTTGGATGAGCCATGAAAAAGAATTCTACTCTCCCTTGCAATAAGATGGGATCATCATTTGGCAAATTGCGAATAATGTAGAAAATAAAACTATTGTTTTCATCTTTTCCTCCAATATTAAATAAACTATATGGCACATCTGTGAATACAAATAAATGTGTGCTGTGATTATTATACAATATCAGAACCATGATTAGAAACATTTAACTTAATAAAACATGAACTTATTTCATAATCTATGTTCTTTTTACTATAAATTCAAGACTCATGCTGATGTAGTAATTAGGGGTCGCAAAACCGGTATTTTCGATATTGCAGTTGACGAATACCGGAATCCCGGTATTTTCAATATTTTCGATATTTAGAGAATTTTTAGTCAAGATTATAGGTGAGGATTTATCAGAGCCGGCGCTAGGAGGGTGCGGGTCTTGGGCAAATTGAATTTTGCGGGGCAGTTGACGTTATATATTCCGCCGATAGGATATTAAGACACGTTGTAGACATATGTCTATCGAATAATTCTGAACATTGTGTTGACTGGATTGACTACTCTTAGTAGGCTTAGGTATATTATAAATATACTACGGCAACGCGCAGCCCACTTTGCCGTCCCCCTAGCGCTGGCCCTGGTTTTATCAATGAAATAAAAACATTCAGAAAAATATCATAATTTGATTTTTAATAAGCTTTTAACAGTAACACAAATATTTAACTTCAGACTTTAATCAAACGTACAAAATAATATTTTTTACTTTTTAATTTAAATAGTTTCATTAATCAAATGTTAAAATAATTGGTGTTGCTTTAATCTTTGGTAAAATTTAAATAATGAAATCGTAAATATGACATATAATGTTTGGTCACTTGACTTTGACCGCAAATGGTTACAAAAGTAACCCGATTAAGAGAACACCCACTGGTCGGAGAATAGAGAATAGGCTGTCATACGCAATTTTTATATATTTTCCTCTTGAACCGCCATTCTCAAATAAAGCCATTTCTATTTTTACCAATGTATCAATGTCTTCATCCGTTGATCTGGAAGTATTATCCAGAGCCTGAAGTTTCTTTTGTATTTCAATTTCAAATTGTCTCTTAAGGGGCAGTGTGTCTTCAAGTTCATCATGCTCAGATCCAAGATGTTTAATTTCATTGCTCGTAGATATTTCCAACGAGGAATCCGCTGTCTGACCAAGCTTTTTAAATATTTACGGTATGTTTTCGCATCTGGTCACAATCTGGCCTCATAAATGCGTCCAAGTAGTCACTTTGTTTCCGATAGTTTCATATGCTTATCAAATTTAGGTTTATTTTTTTCAGGGTCCCCCATTTCTTTCTATCAACCTGAAGGGAAAATAAATGATTGAACAAAAAAGTATTAATTCAATTGAATTTGTTTGACATGCAAAACTTTAAAAAAAATGTTTTAATGTTTGGCTAGGTACGGTTCAGACAAACTGGGACATTCAGCCTGAGACAAAATAGCTCGAAAATCAATTATGAGGTGAATTTAAATTATTAATATTTTTATCACAAAACAGAAGTAACATAATTTTTCTGTGTCTTAAACTTAAGGTATTTGATTATCAAATAACGGATTTGAAAGAAATCAAGCAATCAAACATTTTTGTTATTAAAAGTTGACCCCGTCATTTGAGTGCAATGTGTTATTATTTCCATACAAACTCTTAATGGAAGTCAAAATTCAATCTTCATTTGACTATACCAATCATTTATTTGTCAATAATAAGAAAACATTTACTTACAAACTCTGTACTTTCTCTTTGAACTTGAGACACGTAATGCATGTGATTTGCACATCTCATAAATTATTGATATGTCTTGCTTTAACTACGACGTGGAAACTAAGAAAAACGATTTTTTAAAAATTAAAAATGAAATACCAGGATTATCGAAAATCCCGGTTTTCATAAATCCAATCCTGGTATTTTCAAGCATCAATTATGGTCCGGTATTCCGGTATTTTCGAATTTCGGGATCCCGGATTGCAACCCCTAGTAGTAATACAATTTTCCTTAGATTCCAAAGCTAGATCATAAAAGTACCCATTGGATTTTTAAAAAATTAATAAATATATTGTATGCCACTGACACAATCTGACATTTTGAAAATATAAACATTAAAGTAATACTTTAATTTTAGTTGTTGTTTTACTAACACAAATTATTTGGGTCTTATTTATTAAACTCAGCTCATCACAGAGGAACCCCTATATAATTATTTAAATTATTTCCCTATTCATTAAGCATCACTTAAAAAGTATGAGAGAAATAAAAAATATTTAAAAGATGATTAAAATTTGTTAGGGGGTACCTTTTCAAATAAATATCAAATGCGGTCTGTGTAAGATTGAAACAATGTGATGAAGGATTTTAAAAATATTTTATTGTGTTTATAGAGTGTAAGAATTAGATGTCAAATAAATTATTTCATAATCTTAAAACTGCTTGTGGAGTTATATACTGGGCAACCAACAAGTATAATTCTTACCTCTTGCTTCCTCTGTTGATGAAGCCTGCAAAAGTTCTGCCACTAAGGCTTCCTTCTTATTGTAATTACTGACGCTAACACTTCTCTCAATGTGTAGCTTCAAATACAAGTTCAGCATTGCCCAATTGAACATGTAAAATCGTTCACTTCCAAATTCTGTTTCTACTGCCTGTAAAGACAAGATAATTGGTGTGTTGTAATTTTAAAATTTACACCAATACCTCCTTTCACCCAAAGCTGTAATACCCATCCCCATTTGCCGCATAAATATATATTACTAGCACTAACATCTTTTCCTTTTATAGGCATCAATAATATGCTATTATATAATATACTATTTCATGACACTATTTGAGGTTAGATTAGTATATTACAAAAAGTATGGCTCCTTATTAGCACAAATCGGCCTCTAAGCATGTTTTTTGTGTAATTGCACACATAAAAATGGCTAATTTTTACTACCTACTCCTATGAATTTTTTCCCCGAACTAAATATGATAATTTTGTGAGGAGAAGAAAATAAACATTTATTTTAACAGCTATATAGACAGGAAAGAACACGTGACTCATTTTCATTGAGGAATGACCCCATCTGCTCTTCAAATGGACATTCATGAAAAAAATTCAGTGCCTCTCCCCAATTAAGAAAGTTTGCCACTTGACCTGCAGATACTTGACTGCCTGATATTTTACCCTTTAAAAAAAAGTTGGCAGACCCATGTTTAATCTATTCATCTAAAGATACAAGCAACAAAATAATTTCCCCCCAGTAAAAAAATTATTAAATGACGTCAAAATCTATATAATTATGGATAAAAGAATGTGAAAACAATGTGAAGAGAATTTGGAATAATACAGGTACATTTTTTAAGAAGAATTAAAAAGTACTTTCTTAATTAGAAATAAAGTAATAACTTTCAGAAGGATTTAGCTCCCAAATCCAATAAAAAAATTAAGCAACACAAATCTTTATGACATATAAATATTTTTAAAAACCTACTTTTAAAAGAGATGAGAAATATAGTTTTGTTTCCAAAGAGATGACTTTTGAAACACCTTGCTTTAGAAACTCCCTGCTAACCAAACCTGGGCCTAAAACATAAATAGATCAGATAAAAAAAAATGTAAATGTGCATACAAATCATTTTATAATTATTAAGCAGAATTAAATTAAGTAACTTTACTAGCAGTTAGTTATTTTTACTTCTCCTTTAACAATTTTTATTTTCATAGAACAAAACTTAGTGCTTTACCAGGATTAATTTCTAGTATGGGAGTATGTTTATGCAATCTATGCTTCAAAATCGTTGTCACTAATTTTTCTAGAAAAAAAGAAGAGAAAGAAACAAATAAGTTATAATCATTTCATGTAGAAATGAAACATATAAATGCTTGCATACGAAGGATTTCTTTGCTGGATATGATACCAAAAAAGTGCTAATGAGATTTTGAAAAGCAAAATCAAAAGGGGTCACATCAAATGGTAAGAATGCAAGAATAAATCGAGATTAAAAAAAAGGTACTTGTAAGTTAAATAGCTTTAAAAATAAATTGCTGTTCCATTTTTTAACTTTATTTAAATTTGCTGCATATTTTATCAATTCTGAAGTCTTTCATTTGCTTAATGACATTTAAATGATTTATTTCATTTTTTAAATTTTTGAACAGAAATGCACCTCATTGTATTTATTTATGTCATTATGCAAAGAAAAATACCCAGTTAATAAAAGAACTATGTTTGACACATGATCACACATCTGATCTAATTAATAAATAACACTCTCCAATTCTCTGGCAAAGATGATCTTAAAAATTTCTTTGAATGAAAAATAAAGAGAAGAGATCAGGGACTCACCTGCAACAGTTTCATCAAATATATATGATTGACTGCTTCCTTTCACTTGTAATTTAACATCATTGATTGTCGATTTTTCATCAGAACTTGTGTCTTTGGGAACTGCAGATCGTTTAGAGAAACTGCGCCAAGTAGCATTTTTTGACAAATTTTTACAGCATTGATTTGGCTTTGTTAACAGTAAATTACTTTTTCTATCTGCATTAACTGAATAATTATTTATACTTTTAAATAATGAATGACTCCAGAAATTTCTAACAATGGTGAATAAAACCAAATTTATAACAGAAGAACATTTGTAGCTTGAAAGTACTTGCTGCAAAAGGACACTGTGAGTGGAATGTATCTTAGTTGCATGGAGTACCCGCATTGTTAAGCTGCAGGAAAAAATAAAGGCAATGCATTTTTAAATGGTTACCAGATATTTGTACGAAAGAAGTTTGTTCGAAAGAGAAGCAATACAGAACCACAACCATCAGGAACTTTATATAGCCAACCATTACAGTACCAGGCATATGTGAACAACAGAGCTCAACTATATCCATCAGTTCATATAGAACCTATAACATTGTCTAAGCCTGTTAATATTTATATAGCATATATAAGGAATAATAAAATGGGCCCCCTGGCCCCAGAGAATGTATATTTAGATTTTATTACCCTTTGGTATATGAATATGGATAATCAAGTGTACGTGTATTAAGTTTGATCAAGATCCATCTATTCATGTAGGAGTATTTGTTGGTCATTTTATTTTATAGCTCATATAAGAAAAAATGACATTTTAGAGCCCCGGCCCCATACGGAATGTTATAAAAGTTTACAACTCCTCAAGAATTCCTTCTGGATAATGATGGATATATGTGCCAAGTTTGGTCAAGATCCAACAATCCATGTAAAAATCCACACCGCCACAAAAATTCACTTTTATATATATATATATGATATGATATCTATATATATATATAGAGTTGCAAAGGTCTAGCCAATAAGTGTTGGCACAGTGGCGGGCCGTCTGCTATGATATTTTTTTTGTGGTTCGGAGAGCCTGTAGTGTACTAGCACAAGGTGCATCCCGATAGGCAAGAAGGGCTATTCTCTTCCTCTTGTTTACGGGTTCCATCACATTACAATGCACCTTGTACCAGTCATTATTTTTATCCTCCATTTTACCGTAGGCGGACATGGTTGAATCGTACACAGCATCTCGTAAAAGAGTCCACTTAAGACTCAATGGTACCATCGGATGATCCTTTAGTAAGGGTATCATCCAACACTTTTGTGAATTGCTGCGTTTTCTCTGGGTTGTTTGAGCAGTGGATGTTAATTCGTGGACGACACTTCTTTTAGCATTATATAATTTTTTGGGCATTAGTCGTATCTTGCTTGCTACGGGAGAATGGTCCATGTCACAGTTGGCACTAAGGTAGCTGCGGGTATGAAGTACACTGGCTAGCTCCACGCGCCTAGTAATGACGAGGTCTAGCCAGTGCCAGTGGCGGGAACGTGGGTGTATCCATGACACCTTTTGGATTTGTTAACATTTGAAGAAGGTGTTGGTAACACAGAGACCATGGGAGCAGCAAAACTCCAGCAGACGTTGTCTGTTATCATTAATCCTTCCTAATCAGTGATAACCCTGACTTCCTGATCAGCTCCTACCCTAGCATTAAAGTCTCCCAGAATGTACAATGCTTCGGTTTTAGGAACACATGATAATTCTTGGTCCAGGGCCTCATAGAACAAATCTTTCTCTCCTGGAGTCGAATGAAGAGTTGGAGCATACACACTAAATATCATAATGTATATATATATATAGATAATATAATATATTTATATTTATATATAAATAAATTAGTTGTAATAAAGGCTATTTATCTCACTCCTCAAATCATTTATAATAGTATTATTACTATTATTAGGGGTCGTTCGCAAATTACGTCACGCAAAAAATGACCTTTTCAGCTCCCCCCCACCCCCGGTCGCAAAGTGTCATAAATTCTTAACACCCCCCACCCCATGTTCTCATAATGGATTAAGCTGTAGTATTATTAGAAAACTGTGATGTAAAACAACAAATTCCTCCCATGCCGATTGTAAAATGGCTACAACAGTTTTTGTGTCATTTTTCGATAAGCTCAGAAGGTGTGCACGACTGAGTTTCACGGTACTTAATATACCTGAGGCAATTTTGACTTTACTTAATGTTTTTAAAATTAATTGAATAAATATTTTTCAATATCAGAAAATTTTAGATTGACAAGAATAAAATATTTGGTATGTCACAAATTTTGCTTTTTTCACAAATTATCGACAGCCCCCCCCCCCACCACCCCACCTGAGCGTGACATAATTTGCGAACAGCCCTTAATACTTTTACTAAACTTATCTAAGTCAAAGACAAATGGCAGGTGGTTATCAATCTCATGTCCATAGCAACCAACACCAAAATTAAAACCACTGATATTTGCTGATAATCCATCTCTGTGACTGTGGTGCTACAGCCTATTTAAAATCAGTGCTTTTTTGTGCCGATTGGCACCGGTACGGCGTACTGGCACCTTTTTCAATGTGGGGAAAAAATTATTACTTTTCTTGTATTTTAACGTTTATTATTATTAATTAATATGGTATACCAATAAAGTAATAATAAAACAATTTAAGTTGGTTAATTATAAAATAAAATTGTTTTAGACATTTAGTATCTTTGCAGTTGTGATTTAGCTTGCATCGAGGTGCGAACTGGTAGTTAAAAGCTAGGCAATCCATCACTGAGTACCGGCACCTATTTTTTTTTACTAAAAAGCACTGTTTAAAATGATTTATTATGTGTTATATTTCCTATTTATATTCTGGATAACCAATTTAATTTATTATTAACTACCTTTGGCGGCTATCGATAACAGATAATGTGCAGACAAGCACAGTCACCATGATGACAAATTACAATAGTAATAGCCTAAAAAGTGACCTCTTTGATTTTCGTTTTTGACCACAACCTACAGTCTACACTCATAAATTTTGGGTACGTTATAAATGATGTTATAATTAAAGAAACCCTTATTTTTTATTGGACCTATTTTTATTTCAAAAAGTTATCGATAGTAAAGTTTACATATTATCAACTTCCCTTTTCAAACCTTCACCACAAAATAAATAATCAAATTAATTCTCAAAAGAACAACCAAGCTGTGGGCTTGAAATAAATGGTGGATGTAGAATTTATTATTATGCTAAAAATCGACAATGAAAGGCAAAACAATGATACCCTCTCTGTAAATTAAAAAGTGAAGGTCGCCATTTTGACAACGAAATTAACATACCCGATTTTCTAGTGTTTCCCGGCTACACCGAAGTGCCCATAGTTTGTAGCCTATTAATTTTAATAGTATTACGACTTTAGTATTGGTAATAGTACAGTATAGTAATTGTGTTTTGTTTATTACTAGTTTGGATATAATTCACTAAGTTAGCTTAGTTGGATTTGAATTCATTCAAGTTACTTTAGTTACCGAAGCTTACTGCTAAATAAGTATTAATTTAAGAGTTAAGTTCAGTGGGTGAAGAGGACCAAATTAATTCAACAAAATTGATGATCATGAAAATGTCAAATGACTATATTATTAGTTAGTTAAGTACTTAAACTTTAAGTTACCTTTTTTAAAAAGTCATGCGAAGTATTCGCACCTAAAACTTTTTCGCTAAATATAGAGTATAGAGGATAGTGATAAGTGACCTGTGCATTGAAAATAAGTTATTTTTAATAATTATAACCATAATCAAGCTGCCAAATGAGTATTGGCTTAGGGATTTATGCCTAAATAGCGTGTCGAATTTCAAATTGACAAGCAGGCGGCCATTGTTGTTGTGATAGAACATAAAAAATAACAACTTTAGGCCTACTAGGTGAAGGGGTGGGGATTATAGAATGGTATAAGTATAGTTATTGAAACTATATATATGGATGTGTTATAGTTATAGCAGTGTTATTTTAAGGAGAAAAAAAAAAGTGGTAGTTGAAGTTGTGTCAACTGTTACAGTCTGCTATGCCTACAGGGACTACAGCTACAGTAACTTAAAATTAAAATATTAAGACAAATTCACAACTGCTAGTCACTAGTCCAGTCTAATCAGTCTAAGTAAGTCTAAGGGGGCGTCCATTAATTACGTCAACACTTTTTACTCAATTTTCACCCCATCCCCCTTCCCACTTTTTTTCAACAACTGTCAAACTTTCAATGACCATCAACCAACTCCTCCCACCCCCTAACCCCCTCCCCCCTAGTTTGATAAATTTTAATGACGCAAAATTGAAGGGAAAGGGAAAACATTTTATTACATCTTTAGTCTTTAGCTTGTTAATCAACAAGTTTAAATGTTTTTAAACTTAAATTTTATAATGCAGAATCAATTGAAATGTTGTTAGTGGTATAAATATTATTATTCAATATTAGTACTAAAGCTGACATCAAAGTATAGTTTCTAGTTGTTATCATCCCAGGGAGTAGCCAGGTGTTTCTCTGTCGTAACATCATGTTCGTCTAACCATTCAGCACTTAAAATTTAAAATAGAAGCATTGTCGGCGTGAGCAATAATTCCCATTAGTCATTAGCTCTCTCTCTGTCTCCTGGCAGCTACTCGCATTGGTCGAAATCCTTTTTTGTTGAGTAGCACAAGTAGCAGGTGCTTATTTCTTATGCTGAAGAGGACATTGTCGGTGCTGTTGAACATGCTTTTTCAACATGACTTATGATGCAAAATAGGGTGACCGGACAACTGAACGCACGACAGGTGAACCCACGACAACTGAACCCAAGACAACCGAACCCATGACAAGTGAACCCACGGACAAGTGAACCCACAGACAAGTGACCACACTGACAACTGAACCCATAGACAACCGAACGCACGACATGTGACCACAAAAAATATAAAAAATTAAATAGGATAATGTAAAAAAAAAAA